AATTTCTTCTTTGACGATACTGATTCAATGTTGAACTTTTTACGATTTCAGCGATGATAAAGAAAACATTAGCCACCAAAAAAATCAAAGCTTTTATCGTGTTTCTTTTCTGATGCACACTGACGTTAATTTAAGTTGAAGGAGGACGATAATAATTTCGAAATATCGCGCCGCCTATAAAAGGCGACTTGAGTTGCCAATTTTATCAAAATGGAAGTCTGTGTGCAAGACGAGCGGGTTCATCTCATTTTGCTCGTTTTTTTCGTGACTGTCGTCTTAGGAGTCCGATACATCGAAATGTGGATAGTGTGCTCTGTTTGGTCAAATTCCAGGACAACAGTTCGCAGATCGGTGGCGTTTTTCGTCGTTCTTGGATTCCTCCGAAATGCTTCGTTCAGTGGCATGTCAATTGGATTCGTCGTCGACCGAACCCATTCCGAATGCCGCATTTCGTTCACACACTTCACAGGCATTCATCTCGATGTCTCTTTTGTCTTTCTATATTTGCTGAGTTTCATTTTGGTACAAATCATCAATCTTATTTAATCCCAATGGATGCTCATATCATTCAAAATCATAATAACTAATGAAATCTGGTCGCACGAATTGTATAATTTATAATTCAATTTTATTCTATAATTCATAATTCAATTTTATCAATTGGTTCCGCTTAATTTATCTCTGGTTGCAATCAATGAATATTTATTCTGAAATCTTGTGAGACAAGTAATCTGCGGGTGTTTTCTTACAAAGATTCTTTTGCGGGTAGATTATGAGGCAACTTGAGAGTTAATTTTTGATTGTCCCCATGGGGGACTGGGCCGTGCTCAGCAGCAGTGCAACGCTGAGACGACCCTCGGAAGGTCGGAGCAAGCCCCGAGTCCTTCCAGAGTTCCAAAAATCAGATAACCTATATTACAATCATTCGATTGTATACCGTAGGTTAATACGATAAGAACAGATACTACACTTTGATCTTAGCTATTAAGCCGAGAAGCGATGCCGTCTCATCGACCGCTCGTCTCTCGTACACTCCCATCTGCCGACATTCACCCAGGCCAAGCCAACAGGGCGAATAGTAGAGAACGCAGGGGAACAGAGAAAAGTGCGACAGTTTGCACCTGCAACGCCATTTATGGCTTTGTTTGTTGGTTATCTATCTATTGAGACGGTAAATTGAGAGTAGAAATTTGAGGAACTATTATTTTTTATTGTGTGGATACCAGAACAACCAGAAAGAAAAAAAAACAAACGTAGAGCAAAAAAAATGACTGAAATATATAAATGAACATATCTTCATGGTTAATCATGGATTAAAAGTCACAAAAATTAGAAATCTTTTTTGGGTTTGTACCTTGGCAATAACTCTCCTGAATTAGACACACTTTCTTTTTTACTATTTCTTCCGTGTTATGAATATTCACAGTGGAGAGTTATTGCCTGCCAAGTGGTTGTTCTGGTATCCACACAATAAAAAATAATAGTTCTTCAAATTTCCAACCTCAATTTATCAGTAGCGTTTTTTCCGTCATTCTCAATTTCTCTCGGTAAAGCAGTCTGAATAGATAACGACAAACAAACAAACCCATAAATGAGGTTTCAAGTGCGAACTGTCGCACATTTCTCTCTTCCCCTGCGTTCTCTACTATTCGCCCCATTGACTTGGCCTGGGTGAATGTCGGCAGATGGGAGTGTACGAGAGACGAGCGGACGATGAGACAGCATCGCTTCTCGGCTTAATAGCTAAGATCAAAGTGTAGTATCTGTTCTTATCGTATTAACCTACGGTATACAATCGAATGATTGTAATATAGGTTATCTGATTTTTGGAACTCTGGAAGTACTCGGGGCTTGCTCCGACCTTCCGAGGGTCGTCTCAGCGTTGCACTGCTGCTGAGCACGGCCCAGTCCCCCCATGGGGACAATCAAAAAATAAATTATATCGATAATCCCGAATGGGTCACCAATGTCTGACAATTAACTCTCACCAGACACTTTGTGGCAACAAATATGAATAAATCCGCCCTTATTGGTAGAAAAATGCATCAAAGCGAAATGAACAGGTTACTTTGATGCCTAATTCAAAATTCGTACTGTAGAATGCATAGCGGTAACGGATTGCTGAAGTTCGCGCTTACATTTCGAGCAGTTTTTTTTGACACTGATAATTTATTTTGGAATCCCTGAATGTTTCGGATTTTCACCGGATTCTCATTCTCCGAAGATATTTGGATTTCTTTTCCGACATTCTTCTGTCTACACGGAAATCTATCGTTCGTTTTCAAACAATTCATGTTTTTTTATGCGACAATTGAAATTCCAAGGGTTTCCCGAATACGGAAAAAGCGGCACGGCCTCATAAAAGTAGGCAATAGGTGTGCTGTCCGCAGATGAATTTCAATAAGAATTTTCTCACATTGATAGATAAGATCGGTTTCGTGCCATGTGCAAACCTCTCTTTCTCCCTCCGAATTCTCTAACATATTACTCATCGACTCGGCTAATCGAATAATTGTAGGTTATCAGATTTTTGCTTGAGAAAATGATGAGAGGCCGGAAAACAAGCGATAAGCAATTTTTCTATTTAAATGCGGTCGATAACCAAATAAGGGAAATATTCTCGTGGAGATGTTCATTTCAATGGAAATGGTCGACGATAGCGCGCGTTCGAAATGGTAAGATTGTCCGCAGTTGGATTTTATTAAATAGAAATACATCTAAGGAAGCACTATTTTCTTCTTCTGGCTCACGGTTTAACATCGGTGCTTCACATTGCATTCCTCATTTTGATTTCAATTATTTGGAATTACGCCAGGTCGTGGCAACTTTTCACATTTCTAGGTATAAATTCAACACTAATTAGTATATAATTAACGCCTAATTATAGACGGCTGCATAATTTTAATGACTGTTTTCCTAATCATCTTCGCCTTTATAACATTTCATCATTTCAAAGGCAATCATTCAAAAACTTACTACATATTGAGATAGTACGTTCATTTTTCTCATCCCAATACCATCTGCGGACATTTTCCCGCGATTTTGCAGCTATCCAACAATTCACATCATTTTCTCGGCGCTTTTTCAAATGCTCACTCAAATTCTATTGGTGAACGAATCGATTGGATCGGCTCATTCAATGGTAACGAGCTGCGGACGTCTTTGCGGGCCCCGCAATAATGTCCGCAGATAAATTTTTTGAATAACGTCGATTCTGCATTTCTTACATCGATAAATTAGTTTTCGGGACAAGACACATTTCCAATTTTGGCAATTTTATTTTCAGAGCGGCTCCCTATTGACGTCAGTATACGCGTGTGCCTCAATTGTGGTCCACTTATGGCTATACCATATGTATTAATACTAATAATTATAATATTTGAACGTTGCCATAATAAATGACTAGTTTTTTTTGCCAATGAAAGTCAACCCAACCCAACTTGGTGCAGCAGGCTCGATTATTGTCCGCAGCAAAAAAATGTTGATTTTCATTCTTGCCAATGGAAGTCCCAGTAATTAAAAACAAAGCAATGTCACTTCACTTAGTCACATAGTCGGTTCGTCCTTTGCCTGTTGAGGCGCGAACCACAGCTTTCCAAGCTTTTCGGTCCTTGGCTTGGGTGGACCAGGGGGGTGATAACGGCTCATTCGGCTGTTCTTGTGGTGATCTCCTTCCGAAGCGAGTCCGACCATCTCATGGGAGGCCTTCCTCTTGGCCGGGTCCAATTCCACGGCCGCCACTCCGTTAGAAGAGTAGTCCATCTACCATCTGTTCTTCTAGCAAGCCCAGGTCATCTTCCTCTTCGTGATGTGGTGTAGGGGGTCCCGAACTTTAGACATGATGCGGAAGTCCTCTCGATGAAGATCTTGTTCACGTTGTTGTGATAACGTGAGGCCAACCAATCTTCGCTCAAGCGCAGCGTGACTAATTCGGACTCTTTCGGCAAGAGCTTTGGTGAAGGTCCAAATTTTAATAAGGTTGATTCCGTATTTTCTCACATTGATATGAAAGGACGATAGAAACCCATAAACGTTGCAAGTGTGAACTGTCGCACATTTCTCTCTTCCCCTGCGTTCTCTACTATTCGCCCCATTGACTTGGCCTGGGTGAATGTCGGCAGATGGGAATGTACGAGAGACGAGCGGTCGATGAGACAGCATCGCTTCTCGGCTTAATAGCTAAGATCAAAGTGTAGTATCTGTTCTTATCGTATTAACCTACGGTATACAATCGAATGATTGTAATATAGGTTATCTGATTTTTGGAACTCTGGAAGGACTCGGGGCTTGCTCCGACCTTCCGAGGGTCGTCTCAGCGTTGCACTGCTGCTGAGCACGGCCCAGTCCCCCCATGGGGACAATCAAAAAAATGAATAGAATCGATAATTCCGAATGGATGACTAATGCCTGATGATGAACTCATATGTTGCCTTATAAATTACCAGCAAATGAATCTCTTAAGAAAATAGTTGGTCGTTGATTGAAAACGAATTATCGATATCGCTGGGGTATCCCCGCATTGAGGGAACGAACAAGCTCATTCAAACAAAAAATATATTCAGAGCCATCATAAATAATCTTTAAAAAAAATTAGAGTTAATCAAGTCTCAATAAATTCTAAAAAATCTTGATAAATTTCATAACAAAAAAGCAATTTTTCATGATTTTTTTAAAATATTTTCTGAAAGTTATTGGAAGGAATATTTTCGATCGTTTGATTGATTGTTTCTATTATAAAATGCTCACATTTTTTGCGAAATTAATAATTCAAAAATTCCGATGTGCGAGAAGAATTCAAATCGAAATTTCAATTTCCTGAATTTTTTCTGTTTATTGTCTCCATTTTTTCCCAAAATCTGTGCAATTCCGATGACGTGATAAATTCCGGTAGATCGTTCGGAGATACCAGCTTCTTCATCTTCCTCGCCGAAATGACGTCAAGTATTTAAACGGTATTTTTCGATGGCAAAATGCGATAAAAATTAGTAGGCACAATTGAAATGAGCGGCCATCAAACGACGAGCTATTTTTTAATATTCCTCTTCATTTTTGTCGCGAATTCTCAAATGTAAGCGAATTTTCGAAAATTCCGAATGAACAAAATCGTTCAGAACACCCGGAAATAATCTTCACGCATTTCTAACATCCTCATACTATTATCCAAAATCGCAAAGGTCTGAAATCGGCTGAAAAAATCGAACGTCGAAAATGTTGTTTCAGTCTCGGCGATGATTCGATCGCGTTGGTTTTTTCGATGAGATCCGAGTCGATTCGACGACAATCCCAAATTTTGACGATTTTTGCCGAAAATCACACCTCAAACGCGACAATCAACACAACGTGAGCGTTTTTGAATATTTTTAAGGCAAACAATGAATTGTAGAATTGAAATTCCGAATGGGAAGACGACGTTTCCAATATTTCCGACAACTTCAACACTTCCAAATATGACCAAATTGAGTTTGCTTGATGGCCAACAGAAAATTGAGGTAAAATCGGAGAGCTTTTCATTTTTATATTATGGTCGGGCATAATTACCGGTAGAAGTTCAAACGGAAGTATTTCAAAAAGTAAAAGTCAGAACAAGTTGAGATTCAGCTAAAAGTTTATCTGGATAATATGAAACATATAGTTGTTCTTCGATCTTCGGGACATTCCCATCTCATGAGTCATCGTTGTGAGGCTCCGATGAGCGTTTCGTCTCACTCGTTCCTTCACGGCTTTCACCTTAGCTAGAGTCGTAACAGAAACTGTTGTGTCCTTGAGTTCCGCGTGTATGGTGCCGAAGCGTGGGGATCGAAGTGAACAGTGATGTAGAGTTGGATAGCTTTATTATATCCTTAGATGAACACTACAATGTATGATGGCCGGGTATTTATACTAGTGGGGATGTGCTTCTAGAATGTTCTACAATGTGCGTGTGGGATTGTTTACGTGAGGGACTGGGTTCTAGAATATTCCATAACCTACGAGATTACAATAGTTTACGTGAGCGTGCTCACAACAGAAACTTTTCATCCTCTCCCAGACCTGTCATCAAGTCCTCCAGTCTCCTGATAGCGTCGAATCGTCGAATAAACGGTATTCGGAGCAGGGCTGTGCGGCAATGGAATTTCCGATTGGCCGAAATTGCCGAATTTCCGAAGAGAACGTTCGATCGGCAAATTGCCGAATTGCCGAAATTTCCGATTGCCGCACAGCCCTGGTTCAGAGGGAGTTTGAGGCGCTTGATGATAATGGGAATTTTGACTCCTTGATCGAATAGCGAGCAAACAGTGACACGATGGATACTAGCCTTTACCATTTGGCCGGAAATTTGTATTTTTGTCCGAAACTTGGAAAAACAATAGAAAACACATTAAACAACTGGAAAAAATTGTGAGCGCTCAAAAAACCGCGACTTCATGAGTCACCATGGCGCAACAAAATTACCGGTAATTATGCCCGACCCTGTACAGTATTTCTGGAAAATGCATAAAATTATAAAAAATCGAATTTTCCGGGAAACGGGGTTTTTCGAAGCTTAATCGCAATGGAGCGCATTTTCTTTGCAATAGTTTCAAATTCTTTTGGATTCGCAACGTTTCGACCTTTTGAAAAACCTTTTTAGACGCTATCAATTCGGGGTCCCACAAAATCGACATAAGAATTTGAAAGATCTGAAATTCTAACATTTTTTGGAATGTTTCAAAAGAAACAAAAAGTCGAAATTCGAATTGAGTTCAATGGAGCGCATTTGCTCAACCGGCAATTTCAGATTCCGTTCTCGACGGTTTCGTATGAAAAAAACGATGTGGTCGTGTGTATTTCTCCACAAATTCTTGCCGAACGATACCAATTATTGCCATTGGCATTGCAGACCTATAAAAGGTAATGAAGAGAGAAGCTTATGCACCATATATGGGCATTCTCTCAGGCAAATCAAATAAAATATTTTGAGAATCAAATATTCAGTGATAAACTCTAAATTATTTTGAGAAATTCTAAAGTCTATTGATACTTTCTAAAACTTATTGAGAATCAATAAATTTTAAAAATTTGGAATTTGTAAATTAAATCTTTTGAGAAAGTTAAATCTTTTGAGAAAGTATAAAGTATCTCAATATATTGTGAGACTTTAAAATTTGAATAGGGCCCTTATGACTTCCACTGACGCAATTTGCGGCGTCTCTTTTTAAGATCTTCTAAATTCCAATCAATAATTTATGTTTTTGATGTTCCTTCCGTTTTTTTAGCTTTTTGTAATAGTTTCTTCACTTCAGTGATGGACGTATTCATGAAATGCAAGTTTTTATAATAAATGTTTAACACTGCTGAATTTTAAACAGTTGTGTCTAAACATGTCATTGCATGAACAGGTTCATGAATTTTAAAAATACGCACAATTATTACAATTAATTACAATTATACTTCAGTTTCTAATGATTTCGATATTTTAGAAGATCGGGAAAAGTGTGGAACAAACATTCCAGAAACATTGGCCGATAGATTTAAGGAACGAGGTAAATACGGCAAATTCAATGAGCTGGTGCCCATGTGGATCACGGCCATGGATATTTTCATAGTATTTTGAGAAAGTTAGACTCATTCAGTTATTTTTTAAAACTGGCAATTTTCAGCTATAAACTATATCACGAGATTGTGACTTCATTGAAAATGCGTTTCAACGCGAATCCGGATTTAATTAAGAAGTCATTTTATCGCAAAGAACTCATGAAATTAATCGAAAAACGACAAATTCAATCATCAAAATTTGTAAGTTCAACATTTTCTTTCAATATATGCAACGAATTCCTTATAGCAACGTTGTGCGTCATTCGCAGAAAAAGGAGAAAATGCGAAAAGGATAAATTGATTCATTTATTTTTTTTCTGATTTTTATTATTAATATATTCATTTCGCATTAATATTGTAATAAATGAAATGTTCATACATATTCAATTATTATGGATGTTATTACATTCTATTTGTGTGAAAATTGCTCGATAACGTATGATATTACATAATATTGGACAGAGTTTATTGAGAACAATCTAAAATTTATTGATATATTCTAAAGTTTATTGAGACAAATCTAAAACTTATTGATAAACTTTAAAGTCTCACAATATTCATTGAAACTTATTGATAAATTCTAAAATCTTATGAGATTTCCTAAAGTTTATTGAGACAAATCTAAAATATTATAGAGACACGTTAGCCTCTCAACGAACCTCATAAGATTTTAGAATTGTCTCAAAATATTTTTTTTTCATTTGCCTGAGCTTCAGATATGGAGCGTTCGTGAATATGTATGTGACGAGCATGAGATATGGCTTCTTCAATTATAGCACCGGATATGAGAAATTGGTATGATTTTGAGAACAATTTTTGAGTTATGATATCCTCCAAAACTGGTGGTCTCCGACACCTCGGGTAGATTTACGGGCATGCGTCTTTCGCAAGGTCTCGCAACGAATATATGATAATATTGCCAGAAATTCAAGAAATTGGTCAATTGAATAAAAGAAATGTTACAAATTCCAAAATGATCTACTCGTGTAGAGAAACTGACCATGTATGTCACGAGCTATTGATAACTTGTGATGCGTTGTTCGTGTGAAGTACACAGCGCTTCTCTTTCGTCTCGAGACCACGAAAGCATACCGTACTAATGACTCTGGTAAATGATTCCTAGTCGTATACGAAAAAAGCGAATTTCTTCATCGTATAAGATAAAATTAAAATCGTATACGTTAATGGTAATCGTATTAGTTAATGTGAATCGTATAGGATCGTATACGATTCTGATGAATGGTTTGTAATCGTATACGAAACATCCGCATTTCCTCGTCGTATACGTTATTGCAAGGATCGTATACGATTTGGATTTTATCACAGTAGTGTAACCACCACAATTATACACTGCGGACATGCATTAAAATTGACGTCTAAATTCGAAAAACAATTTTCGAAAATTTTCGAATTTTTCGATTTTTATGCGTATATTGCGTTTTAATATATATACTTTCCAAAAAAATCGTACATTTTACTGGCTCCGCTCTAAGAAATCTATATTTTCTTTGCAGATATGTCGCAAAATTCAAAACTATTTGCATATCGAAAGCGATATCGTTACACCACACGAGAAATCATGGAAAAAAATATATAGGGAATATCGGAACGAGACAGAAACAGGTGATAACAACAGAAAAAATGAAGAAAATAACTATTTTCAGAAAATAGAGAAACTTAACATCAGGTATAACTAAAAGTAAAAACAGAGCAAGATTTAATTTCTATAGATTCTATAGAATCGTCTGAAGATGAGCTCACTTGCGCGGAAGAAGATTTTGTGTCAATGTCGAGCTGTGATAACTTGCAAAGAGTCATTACGTCGAGAGGTTGTTACCGTTTTTGCATATTTTTGAAATTATTTCGCTTTAGGCCAATGGGAAGCATTATCTTCGCGAGATTTTATTTTCACAGTTTGAAACGACTATTATCGTCAGAAATCACAAAGGGAATTGGGCAAAGAATGTTGCGGAAGTATGCTTTATTATAAAATTGTACACCGTAGAAAAAATTTAGTGCTGCAATTTTGCAAGATTTGACGACCGAAGTTCGTGCAAGACTTGATTCGGACCCAACGAGAAAATAACATGATGTGTCTATCGTGAAACTGAGAAAACTGCTATTTCGATATTCGGAGAATGATGATATCGAAAAAACGACAGATGTACCACTGAAGTACTCAATGCTGGCTCAAAAAGGCGATTTGTTTACTGAGAAATACAGCTATCAAGGCTCACACTACTCAATACAAAGAAATATTGCTTCGGATAATAGCGTCGTGATGTTTCGTTGGCGAAATTCACTGCAATATGGCGATGTATTGGGATTTCTCCTCAATGAGAAGTTCGGTGACCGGGTTATTCTACAACCATACATTCTAAATGAAAGGAATCATGTTCACGGTATGTTTTATTTATTGTTCAATCATTCCAAATGTAATGGTACCAGATTCCGCGAAAAAAAGCATTAAAATCATCAAAAGCCGTAAAAAAATATCAGAACTCGTCAAAACCGGCAAAAACCATTATAATTATGGTTACCGCTGTTTGAGTTTTTGGCGAAATCTGCATAGTACCACAATAGAAACTATAGAAACCCTATACTTCCAGATAGAAACTTTATCCCAAAAATTCGCGGCAAAGCCAAACAAAAACAATGTGAGTTTATTTTTTAATTTTGCTATTCTCTAAATTTAGATCGACGTGATCGCCGTATACAAAAACCCCAAAGCTCTTAAGGACGAAGAAATAATTTTTCCACACTGGATGGAAATTAGTGGGTTTTTTGTTTTTTTAAAGTTTTAATTTTAAATCTTTAAAGAGACATCAACGTCGCCCAAATATTTTTGGAAATTCCGTTCATGAAGGCAGCTCTGAAGCATGTGATAAATACTACAGTCAACAGATTTGTCGATAAGGTATCTTACAATTATTTAAAGTTGCAAAAAATATCTTCAGACAATTCCCAATAACGATCGTGTGAATTATTCAACATCGTTTAAGCCAACTCCGCCGCACGCAACGCTTCCACCTCTGTTTTTTTAACAGGCGATTGGTATGCTCAAATAGCGCGAAAAATGTTTAAAATATGTTTAAATTAATTTCAGCTGTTTTACAAAAGACGGTTACCATCGATGGAATGGCTGACGAAACGGCGAATTCTACAATCTCCTTTTTGGTACTTTACGGTCATATGACCTATCTCCTGTGAGTTTTCACTTTTTAGTGGGCCTATGCAGATTTTGAAAAGAAACGCAGTAAAAACCTTTTAAAGAAACTCGACAACATTATAAAGATTCGGCTAAACTAGTCTTAATCAGATTTTGTCGCGTTTTTCTCCAAAATCTGCACATGCCGAAGACTGCCTCATGATTAATCATTCAAATGAACTTAATTCAGAAACAATTCACGATCGAAAGCGCGAGCAGTGGAAAAAAATGGTTGATCGCGCCCCCCAAAATTAATTAATTTATTCTTTTTTTTTTTTTTTTTTTTTTTTTAAAATTAATTAATTTATTTTTTTTTTTTTTTTTTTCATTTTTTTTAAATAAACAGGTATAGAAATCTTTACATCATATATTTAAAAGCGTTAAAATGCCAAACGAGTAGTGTAAAGTGAAATGGTATACGAAAAAATCTCAATCGAATACGAAAAAATCTCAATCGAATACGAAAAAATCCCAATCGAATACGAAAAATCCCAATCGAATACGAAAAAATCCCAATCGAATACGAAAAAATCCCAATCGAATACGAAGAAATCGTTACCGTATATGAAGAATTGTAGTCGTATACGAAGAAATCACAATCATATACGAAGAATTATAATCGTATACGAAGAAATGCCAATCGTATATTAAGAAATCCCAATCGTATTTGGCCGCGTTTGAAGAGCGATATCAGCGTATACGATTGAGCTTTCTTCGTATACGACTCGGAATCATTTACCAGAGGATGGTATAAGATTCGCCAAAAAAACGAGCAAGATGAGTTTGATTCGCAGGTTATCCAGAGGACGGTAGGCCTCGAATTCGCACTTTTTCAAATTTGAATTGCCGCCCGACAAAGTGCGATGGTCCACAATTATTCAAGTCGCCCCTTTTTCTTTTGCGATGATACGAAGCTAGATAAACGAAAAAAAATTTTGAAACAGATTGCAAAAAAAAAAAGACGATGGATAAATTTCTGGGTATTTGCGTTGCGGTGTTTGCACACATTTTTGCGTGCGCTTCCAAAAATGGATTTGATTTTTTTTTTGAAAAAATAAATGTCTGCGTCTCTCAAAATCGTACAATCTCTATACGCTTTTCATATGTCACGATTTGCTGAGTTGAGTAGACAATATCGACAACATCAAATTCAAATCAACGGGGGGGGGGGGCCGCACGCGAACCGCAACGCGTCTGACGACATTGAACAATTACCGAAGCCGCCTCTTTTCTTGGGGGGAAACCTGATTATAATACTTATTAGATTTAAAAGAAATATTTGAAATTAAAAAAACAAACTTTCGAGATTCTTATCGATTACAGGGATTCGTCAAAATGCAGCCGTGGATTCTTCCGAGAATCTCGAAGCCGTTTTTCGAGAATTTCGATGATTTCGCCCAATTGGCACATACCGATTGCCTACTTCAATTCAAGGTAATTTGACGAAGAAAATTGCCACTGTTTTTTTGTTTTATTTTTTTCGCTCTTCAGGAATCGTCAAAATTCGTGGCGTTTCTCGATTTGAACGAGCTTCTCATCCCTCGATTGGCCACTAATTATCACGACGAGTTCGCCAATTTCGTCGCCGCCAATCCGACAATCGATTATCTCCAATATAATCGATATAATTATGAGACGAGTGCCGGTAATTAGCTAATTAGTTAATTAGGCGTTTCAAAACCAATTTCCAGAAGCGAGTCCATTTTTCCTCGACGTTGAAGAGATTCTGCAACATTTGAAGTATAATGGAGAGGTTTCGGAATGAATCTTTTTTTTTCCTGCAACCCAAAATTGTTTAGTCTGAATCGCCTCGAATAGTGATTCCGACGCATCGCCTCAACGTGACATGGTCCCAACAGCAAACCGCGCTCAAAACTTCGGTGGTCCCCAACAACTCAGTGATTCGAATGAAGAAATTTGTAGTAGTTGATCTCTTCAATCCATCCAATATTTCGTTGCCGTTTTATTTGAATCAAGAAGGCGATTATTTGATGAAAATCGAGGATTTGGAGGCGATCGGCGACGCGTTTGATGAGTAATTCAATTTTCGAGCGATTCATCATTTTTTTAACCTTAATTGGCGCTATTTTAGCACTACCATGATTTCGGAGGTGTTTTTGAAATTGCCTGGCGTCAAGTATCCACCGGTGTACGTCGATCTGATTGAGAATTGTATTCAGAATCAGAATATTAATAATTGCAAGGTATTCACGAATTAATTCCAATTAGTTGATTTGTTTTTTGAAATTTGCAGGTTCCCGAGCATCGCTATGTCAGATGTGCACAGGCCGTAGCAAATTTCCAAACTAAATTGCACAATTCATCATCGACTTTTTATTATTTACCGTTCGACACTCGTTTCGCCACATTGGTGAAATGCTCTATCTAAAACCGCTATTTTTTTTTTATATTTCTCAATTTCATCACATTTTATGAATATAAAATTCATTTATAACATTAATTTCAAGCTAATTTTATAGGAAATGTTGAAAAAAAAAACTTTTAAATAAATCTAGAATAGAGCCAATTTTCGAAATCATGGCCCAAAAATAGAGTTGCATTTCCGGATTTTCGATATCATTCAATGTTTTTTATTAATGTTATTAATGAATTAAAAATTAGTTTCTCTGTAATCTCGCAAATGATAGGTGCCTACAGTAACGGCGTAATTTTATTTTTTTAGTTTTCTGTTTGGTCATGCTCACTCCATGCGTTACCACTATGAATATCGACACCATTCGACTGCCGAAATTCTCGAAATTTCCAATTTTCTACTGAAAATCCATGTTATCAGCGCACGCATATAGATTTACGTGCATGCGCCTTTCGAAATGGTCTCGCCACGCGTGAGCGCTTAGTTTGCTGTTTTCGTGTGAACTCTTTATTTTTTCTGAAATTCGAACATCATTCAAATTAACAATTATCTAACCGACCTCTGAAATGCAAAGTAACCAATTAGTCGGAACGAGATCATTGCGACCAGTGTGTACTCCCGGGAGGAAATTTCCCGGGAATTCCCGGGAAGTATTCGTTTTAAGATTCCCGGTATTCCCGAAAATTTCGGGAACTTCGGGATTTTCTCGGGAATTTTCTACGTTTCCCGGAGAAAAAACTGTTCGGGAAAATTGCGCAACTCATAATTCCCGGGAAAAAATTTCCCGGGAGCACACACTGATTGCGACTGCGAATGCACGTAAATCTACCCGCGCGCCACTTCTTCTTGCTGCCTCGAGACCCATCGGCACATAGGCAATCATTTTCTTTTTTCAAATTTCTTCCGTCGTTTGACGATACTGATTCAATGTTTGTTTGTTTGTTTGTTATAATGGACGTAACTTCGTGCTCTTATCAATTCAACTTAATATTTCTTTGAATCGCTTCAATATTAAACGACTGGTGTTGTCGAACGTCATTTTTACGATTTCAGCGATGATAAAGAAAACATTAGCCACCAAAAAATCAAAGTTATTTTATCACACACTGAATGACACAGAATGCGACTCGAAAAAAAAGGGGAGAGGTCACTCACAAAAAAAACGGGATAAATTTAATGAATTGGATTGTATAAGGGGGGGGTAGTAGTTTGGGATGGTTGGAAAGTGGGGGGCACACAATAGACGGAAAAAAACATAAGAAAAAAACCATTTAATTTCTTATTGTAGTCTTCCCTCGGGAAAACGAACGCAACAAATGGCATAGGGGTGCTCCCCGTGTAGGCCTTGCAGTTGCTATGTTTTGTGCAGTTCGTGCACTTGCGGATTCGGCGCAGCACCTCCTTGCGTTGTTTCCAGTTTGTGAAAATGTTGCAGTCAGCCGACCTGTGGTCGCCGGCGCAGAATGAGCAGTGGCGCGGTGGGGCGCTTGCTCTAGCCGGACCACTGTTCGGCTGGCGCTGCTCGAACGGTTCCCATGTGCCATGTGTCTGCGGTGGCGATCGCATCTCTCCCGTTACACCCGTTCCGTGCTCCATTGTCTGAAAAGAGTTCCGTGATTAGTTTGTACCGATTTGTCGTTGAGTTTGTCGATTAAGTTTTTTGTCGTCTTACCGGCATGCTCGAGATGGCCGTCCAATGGCTAACCGCCTGCTCGAACGTTTGGCGCAGCGCTGCGATGTTATCGTTCAGCATCTTCCACTGGCGAGCGACGCCGTCTTCGCGATCTTTCATTGGCGTTTCATCTGCTGCGTGCTTCGCTTTCGTTGTCTTGACAGCCTCGGGACGTTGTTCGGCTTCCTCAGGTTCAATGTCCATATCATCGTCCAACAATACTTTCTCCAGGCGATGAAGATCGTCCGCCATTGCCTATAAAAGTTATATTGATTGATATGCCTTGAAATACGACGGTAAGAAAGTTATTTTACGGTACGGTTAAGAAGTGTTATGTACGAAATAACGTTAGTTATCAAAAGGGCGTTATGGGCACTGTTATTGGATAACGATTGTGTTTGCACGCTTAAGTTGTTGGTCAAGGAGCAGGAGTTGTTAGGCATTCGTTGGGCAATAATCATAACGAAGCATAATACTGTTGGCAGTTGTGGGCATTAAATGTGAATGAAATAAAAAATTCGAACCGAGAAAAAAGGAAACGGTGAACGGAACGATTGGAAATTACCATAATATTTTGTGCGGTGCCAGGAAATTGGGAGGAAAAGGAAGTAAAGATTAAGTATCACGACAATCAACCAACGGAACAGAAAGAAAATTAAAGAAAAGACAAAAAAATTGACGTACCGCGTTCCTAAAAAAAATCGCCGTTACGGTATGCACCGCGTCGCAACCGCTCCGCACTCGCGTGGTGTCGTCCGCGTGGGAAACGGTATTCATTTTTCGCGCGCTCGGCGATTTTCTGTTGCCGCGTTATCGCCCTTCCTCGTTTACCTCCACAATTCTTTTCCCAAAATTTCCGTTAATTCGTCGTATCTCCTTCATGTGTGCTCTTCATTTTGCATCCATATAATTCCCGTCGTCATCTTCGCAAATGTCAAATTATTTAGTTGCAGGAACCACTCTTCCACTACGGTTCAACTCGTTTACCACGCCACGCCGAGTATCTTTTCGCCTAAGTTTTGTTTATATTCAGTTCATAAATCACAATTATAGATTCGCTGTTGTTTTTTTTTTTAATGGACCTGTCCTCGGCAATGTATCCATTAGCTGCGCCCTCGGCGTCTATTGTAAGAAAAAATTCCTGCGCCCTCGGAGTTTATATTTAAAGTTCAAATTTTCCTGCGCCCTCGGCGAATAATATTCTTGAATTTCCGTCATTTTTCATAATCCATGATCTAGCAACCGCGCCTTCAGCGTTTAATGCGTTGCTCGCGCGCGCGCGCACAAACTTAATTTAACCTTCTCTCTGAAAGGATCGCTACCTGGCTCCGAATCGATATGGATTAAGATGATGTACTAATCGAGTGGCCATCCCTTTCGCGACAACATTCTTGCTCCTCCGGGTCAGTGCGACAAGATGAGTACTTCGGTTATTTCAGTTAGCGAGATAATCCATAAGATGATCGAACATTACGATATATAATAAGATGAAAAAAAAAATACTTAGCGAATTATCAGTTTTTTTTCGGTAAAAATCCTGCGAAATCGTTTTTTGTTTCGGCGTCGCTGAAAAACGGTCGCAACGTGCATACAGTTCATCAAGTTGAACTAAAGTTGTCGCGATCAACCGCGCTCACGATAAAGTTCGATAAATTACAACCGACGATTGTTTAAGTTGGTTGCAGATTCTGTTATACAGTGCTCCACAAAATTATATACCCACCCTAATTTTGTTGAATAACTCGAAAACGCGAATAGCTCCAGAAATGGTTTCAATTAGAAAAATATGCGCATTTATTATTAGTTTCATGTTACATTCACAAAATTCAACAAAAAATAACAATTTTAAAAATTTCGTCATTTCTCTTTTTTAGCTTCTCTTTTCTCAAATCGTGCCAATAATCACGATAACCATCTGGCCCATCACAATTGAACATTTTTTCATCGGAAAAGACTACCCGAAAGAAGAAAACGAGTTGAATGAACGTTGCAGTTATTCTTACTTGTCTCCAATTAGTTCGTTGATTCTTTTTTGCAAACTCCAGTCGTTTTTCACGATGTATTCGAGTCAACACTGGTGCCATTTTACTGGGTTTGATGAAGGTGCTCTTCGATAAAACACGCCGGACGGTTTGATTTGTCAGCATGAGATTGAATTCCCTTCGAATCGTTGAGCACAACACGGCCGAATTTGACGCTCTTCGCTAAATTTTGCGCTTATCACGATCCGAAAACAGTGAAGGACGACCTGTCGACGTTTTTTGACCATATGCGGCTGGATTCTTAGCATATCGGCTAATAACATTTTGTGTGCGTCCGAGATCATTCCCAATTTGCCGATAAAAGAGACCTTGAGCCAGTTTTGCTTCAATTTCACCTTTTTCAAAGTCGGTGAGCGGCATTCCACGAGACATGTCTTAGAAAAAAAACAGAAAAATTGCAAAAAAAGTTCGAAAATACGAAAACATACGAAAAAAAATATCGAAAAAACGCCAAAAAAATGAAGTGGGTATAGAATTTTGTGGAAAACTTTTTTCCACTTTTTCGTGAAAATGATGAATTTTTTAAATTGTTATTTTTTGTTGAATTTTGTGAATGTAACATGAAACTAATAATAAATGCGCATATTTTTCTAATTGAAACCATTTCTGGAGCTATTCGCGTTTTCGAGTTATTCGACAAAATTAGGGTGGGTGTATAATTTTGTGGAGTACTGTATAATTGTCAAGAAGTTATTGAGACGCAATATGCAGTTCATTTTCCAGTGTGTGTACTGTTTTATTTAATAGTTTAAATGATCCCTCGTCATTTCCTCTAGTAATTATAGTTTGTAGTCAGTTTCATTTTTCGAAAACTGACAGTTTGTCCATTGTACGTCCGATCGATGCTTCGGAAATAAAAATCCAAGTTTTATTCGAGCTATTGCATCATCCATGTCGTAAGAGTTCGTAAAAGTTTGTAAGAGTTCCTCACGATCGGTCGATGCACCATGACACAGAATGCGACTCTGCTGGGCCGGCATCATAAGGTGTGGTTCAGTGGTTTATCATAAATTAGTTTATTGAGGTACTAGTTCATTTAATCATACAAGCAGCAAGTTGGGGCATAAGGGACGGGTGACGAGGATTCGCCACCTCAGTTACAATCGGGGGACAAGATAAATATACATACATAACTAACAACTCACAACACGATCAATCTTATTTAATCCCAATATTTGCTCATATCACTCAAAATCATAATAACTAATGAAATCTGGTCGCACGAATTGCTATTGTGCTCATCGAAAGTCCTTCCCGTGATTCCGGGTTCCCGAAAAGTCGTAGGCAACGTCCTCACCGGCGTCACCAGTTCACTTTCAAAGCTGTGACAACAAGCGATTAATTTCTATAATTAAAAATACAATTTTATCAATTTGTTTCGCTTTCATTTATCTTTGGTTGCAATCAATGAATAATGATTCTGAGGTCTTCCGAGACAAGTAATCTGCGGGTGTTTTCTTACAAAGATTCTTTTGCGGGTAGATTATGAGGCAACTTGAGAGTTAATTTTTTGATTGTCCCCATGGGGGGACTGGGCCGTGCTCAGCAGCAGTGCAACGCTGAGACGACCCTCGGAAGGTCGGAGCAAGCCCCGAGTCCTTCCAGAGTTCCAAAAATCAGATAACCTATATTACAATCATTCGATTGTATACCGTAGGTTAATACGATAAGAACAGATACTACACTTTGATCTTAGCTATTAAGCCGAGAAGCGATGCCTCGGTGAAAATTGGCGGGCCCCGCGCGGGTGGAAATGGGTGGTTGGACCCGCGCGGTGCCAGCGCGACTCCAAATTATGCCCCGCGCAGGCCCAAACGGCTATTTGGTCCCGCGCGGGTCATATTTGCGGGCCCCGCGCCGGTGAATATCTCAGAAGGGCTCGCGCGGGTGATTTGCGTTCAATGGGAATGGAGGGGCCCGCGCGGGTGAAAATAATGCGGGGTTCTCAGGGGCAACTGCGGGCCGTAAGCGGGGCTCTCTAAGGACTCTCGCGAGACCATCAAATTTGAGGGGCCCGCGCGGGCCATTTGCGGCAACCGCAATATATCAGCGTATTACAGTTTTCCAAAAACAATTTTGCAAAAGAATTAAACATGTTGTGTATCAATTAAAACATTGTTCAAAGTGTTTGAATCATCACGACCGTATTCCTTTCGGATGTGGTCGAATTCGATTGGAAAACAAGACATTTTGCGTTTAGAATATTTTATTTATTTTAGTTTTTTTTTATCAATATATTTATTATTGTTTTTTTTTTTCGAATAATAGACCAATTTTTCTTATTGAGAATTTCTAGACTAATCTCGTTCACAGAAATTTTTTTTAGTGGAAACACAGTGTACGACACTCCGCCGTTAACACGTGCCCGTTGTTTATCGTATTTTGTTTCAATCGTTTTAAATTGTTCGTTCCAATCACATTTAACTCGTCCAATTAATTAGCAAGTGTCTAATTTTTTTTATTAGTTTTTTCTTACTTCTAAATTTAATTATTTCAGTCATATATATGGTAATATGCGCTAAGCGCAATGTCGAACCAAAGAAGAAGAAGATTTACTTTTAGTAAGGAAATGCAAAAAAATTAAATACCGTGCGTTGCAGAATTATGACCACTACACGGTTACTTTTTAAGATACTAACATAAAAATTGGTATATATAGGTAATTTTTCATGCTGAACACGATTTTAACACTGCTTAGTCTCAAAATATCGAAACCTGCGCGGCACTCTAATTCGGGGGTTTTGTAATTCTGCAACGCACTGTATATATAATATATAATATTATGTAACATAATTTATGTTTATAGTTGGCAAGGAAATGGAGCCTCACCATGGACCTTCAGAAGTACTATTGAGTAAGTTCCTTTTCATTGTTCATAACTTTGGCAATGAATGTACAGACGGTTCACTATAGACTTATCATAATATGATAAGTCTATATAGTCGGCGTCCGTCGACTGCTGTACGTGGGTAGATTTACGTGCATGCGCCTTGAAAAGGTCTCGCCACGTGTGAACGCTTATTTCGCTTTTTTCGCATGAACGGTTTATTTTTTCTTGATGAGTTTCGCATTTTCTTGCCCCAAGATAAACGAGCATCTTCATGAATCTACCCGCGTACAGCAGTCGACGGACGCCGACTATATCATATTGTTATTCCTATTTCAATACTCTATTTATGGTTTTTCAGAAACATTATTCTCCACAATTAA